TAATAATATTTTATTTTAACTTATTTTAACTTACATTATAATTTTAACGATTTTTCGTTGTATGCATTAATTATTATAATTTTTGTTAGATACATTTTATACCGACAATGACGATTTTTTTTGTATGCATTAATTATTATTAATTTTATATTTTATAATTACGTAGTATTACCTGCAGTCTAATATTATTTTTATTTAACTTTAATAATATGTATTGTATTTTGTATATTTTAAACATTAAAAAAAATATGTGCGGAGTTACAGTGTCAAAAAAAATCTTTTATGCGGAGTTAGGGTGTTTAAAAAAAACTTCGTATGCGGAGTTAAGGTGTCGAAAAAAAACCTTGTATGCGGAGTTAAGGTGATATATTATAAAATGGCGACGATCCGTGCGGAGTTACGGCGCACCGATAATTGTAGGTATCTTCTTTTTAATATTATAGTACCTATGCAGTTTTTGTTTATTAATGAAGAGTTATCTATTACGTGGATCCTAAATTGTGCCCGTTTTATCTATTGGTGTAAATTTATTATAGATACGACTACCTTTATACAATCTTACATGTTCTTATAGTTATTTTCCTATTTTCTCGGACGCCCCATTGGCCATTGATGCTTCTAAATTATCTAAATGGCACTGTACACATAATACAGTAGGTACACACCCTAACATTACAGTAATGCACGATTCATATGGACATTATATTCTATCATTTATTATAAATAAATCATTGGGTATGATTGGGTATACAGTCCATACAATAAATAAATAACCCATAATATAATAGGTAATTATGTTGGTTAGTTTAGCCTTTTTATTCAATGTTTATAATTTTCGACGTGTATAATAATATCATAGTATTGGGTTTTGGGCACCATCTTAAGCCCTTAAACATTGAGCAGCAATTGAGCTATAACTATTTACTAATGACTATCGTAACTACTAACCACTTAAACCGACTATCGACCTACTATCGTTGATGTGTATATTGTATTGTTTTTATTATGATGCATGTTTTTTTTCAGTCTATTATCAACTGTTGAGGTAGTAAAAATGATTCGATTTATGACCTAAGCATCAATCCTGATAGGGAAATGAATCTAGTTAGCAATTTAGTGTATTCGGAAGGTTTAAATTGAAATTTCTCAGTAATTATTGAAGCGTCGGAAAAAACCATTAAAAAAAAAAAAATTAATTTAGTTTTTGGTGTAACAAAAAAGCTAAAAACCGTAGGCAGTTGAAATTTCCACAAATGTTTTGCTTGAGAATTGAATGGAAGGTAATAGTAATAATAATAATATGATAATAATATCCGTAAGTATCCTTGATAACAGTTCATAAACATTTAAGATAGGTACATAGACACGGTTATTTTTCATAATATTATGGATTTAAAGATCAAATTTTAACAACATTTTAGAAGTTAAAAATTATTAACTGTGTTTCTTTTTTAGATTTAACATGAGGAATGTTAATAGAAAATTCCGCACAAGTTTTTTCACCTTGAACAAAAATAAAGTTAATAGAAAAGTGAGGCTATTTATATCCATGAGATGTTTTTGATTTTAAATTCTGAGCGGAGCGATGAATGTATTGATTTTACAATGATAATGTGTGTTTATTTATTTATTTATTTATTTTTGTATCTGTCATTACGGGTTAGGACAGTAAAAGTGCTTAAATTTTCTTCAATAGCAATTTTTCTGGTAGGAAAGTGAATCTAGTTGTTGCATTCGGGAGGTCAAAATTTAAAATTTCCAAGAAACAAACAAAAAATTAAGGAAAAACAGGAATATTTACGCAAAATTAGTTTTCGAAAAAATCGACTTTGGTTTTTAGTGTATATCTAAAAAAAATTACGGCAAATACATGATGAAATCTTGACTGAATGTTTGTGTTAGCATTTTCTATACACCATACAATTTTCAAAATATTTTGACTGATGTTGAACTATTTATAGGCATATTAAATATTCGATTATTATTAGTTTTTTTTCGTCAGCTTGGTCAAAAAACTTGAAAATATAACACAAGGTTGATCATAAGTTGTTGTAAATTAAAAAAAAGTTGAACTTAAGTCCACAATAATTATTTGTGAGGGTCTGAATTTCAAATTTCGACAAAATACGTAAACATCACGGTACCTATTCTTAGTAATAAATTCATAGCAAATTTTCTTTTCATATTTAAGATTTAACAATGTAGTACAAGATTCCACAAAGGTTTGTCTACATAAAATAAAAATCTACCAGAAAGTCAAATTACACTTTTATGAGTGTTTTAAGTTTAAATGTTTACAACATTGTACATTCACTCGATTTATCATGTAGCGATTTTCTTATTTTGCTGTAGTACAAAAATAAATAATTATTGTAGACACTTGCAATTTACACCATATGTTAATTTTATCTATTCGTACGCTTGAAACATTTTTCAAAATATTTTTACTCGTTTTAAGCTTTAGACGGACATTTTTGATTTTCATTTTTTTCCATTTTTTTTTCTATAAATGTCAATAAAATTTTATTGGTTGGGTCAAAAAGCATAAAAATTTAATACAAGACTCTTGATATATTGTTACAATAGCAGTTGAAAAATATTAAAGATACTTAAGTACGATTTTTTTTTATAAAGATTTAAATTTCAAATTTTGACAATATTTATCAAATTGAAAATTAAAAATGATTTTGCAGTTAAAAATTTATTAAATGTTCAATTTTATCGCTAAAGATTGAAAGTTTAAAACAAGGTTCCTTTTAAGCAGTTTTTTTCGTAACTAAATATATAAAACATATATAAATACTGCAGTTATTTATAATAATCGTATTATTTTATAATTTATAATAATAATATAAAATATACTGGACTGACATACCACTACCGCCTCCGCTCAGAATCTTTTTTAGTATAGAAATAGAATGATATATCATTGAATTCAAATTTAATACGATCCATTACAGCGACATTCTAGACAGCAGAGCAACAAAGTGTTGATCTGTTAAGTTAGGTTGTTGAGTGTTATAAAATGTACACAAATCAAAAGGAATTTAATTCGGATAAAAAATGGATATATTTTATTATTTCAAAATTTGCATATGATTTTTTTGTATTATGCTATTTTAAAAATGTTAGTGCATTTGAATGCATATTTCCGAATATTTTGGAGTATGCATGCTAATTTATACATTTTTTAGTGCTTGAACTTATGTGCCCTGGTACAAAATTAACCAACTATTAGTACAGTACCTTACACCACTGCAACAGTCCCTACTCTCTAGATTCCATAAAGACGCTAACGAAATAAGAATTAATAAATAATTAATTGTAAATGTATGAATATTATATTATATGTTGTATGATGGATGATCATAATTATTACTTTAAAAATAGTCCAATAATACTAATTAATAATACCCATAAAGCTTGTTCTGTTCCACAGTGTTCAAATAGGTAGGCAAATATTACAATTATTTACACTTAATTTTTGGCCAAGTATTTATTTTGTAGTATTTATTTTTAAAATTGTTTTTTTAGATACAAAGGATAATATATAAATTCATTTATTTCCTAAATACACGCGTTAAGGAAAACATGGGAGGTATCTACTATAAAAGATTACAAAAAATCTATAAATATGACTGTTGTTTATAGTGAACATTTCCCTTCATCAGGTCATTCTTAGAGTGGAACATTTTTCAACGTTGAATCTAATATAACGCCAAGTACCTATTAATTTCTTATTCAAACATGTAAAAGAAATAGATTATCAAGCCATCACTATACTGTTGAATTGTCTAAACATAATAGAATTACTATAAATATACAATATGTCTGTATTATTTGGTAATATAATATTTTTGAGGTCAACTACTTAAAAAGATTTCTGAAATAGGCAACCACCACGATTGGGGGGAGGGGGGGATACCAATGACAACAACCATTTTAGCATTGACTGTCGCGTAATGATATCTAATATAATTTATAAACAAACTGATACATATTTTATTTATTTGTGTGTTATTTTCAAATATTGGCAATACAACTTGCTTAATAGATAACATTCTATACTTGGTATAAGGATAAATATTATAAATATATAATTATTCAATGTAATACTATTAAGGTAATTTTAAGAAATAGGTTGGTGTCATCATTTTATATTGAAGGGACTACAGTCATGGATACCATTGGACATCATAACACTTGTACAAATATATTTGTAATTTAATAATGATCACCCTCATCAGGTGAAGTATACAATTTGATATTACATTGGTAGATTACATTAATACTTATTGTTATTTTATACATTTGTAAATAAATACATTTCTTCATATATTTATATAATATAGGTGTAAAAGGACTATATTTTTTGTGAGACAGTGTTGACAGCAATTTAATTATAAAATATATTATTAAAATCCTAATTCTAAGGATTGCTTGTAAAACACAATACTACAATAAGGTTAATCAATATTATGCTGAATTGTAATTGTATGAGCTTAATACAAAATGAGGTATATTTATGAATAATTGTGGGCACATAATATTTTAATAGGAATTCCATAACAAATGGTTTTTATTCATTTTGTATTATGTATATATAAATTCAACTTATCAAATGTTAGTTTATACAATTAAAAAATAATTTATTAGGATAAATACATTTAAATTAGTAATAATAATTAATTTACATATTTTTCCTAATTTTAAAAATGCTGCTTAGATTTCTAAAATATACTACTGTTTTTAAGTTAACAATAAGAACTAATTTTGTAAATATCCTCTAAAATTAAAACTAGGAACTAATTTTTTTTCCTGTTAATAAAAACAGAAATGTTTACCACGATACTGCCACAGTGCCACCAGGTCCCGTATTGAAACTATACTACATAAAATCGCATCATTCATGACGCGGAAAAAGCGATTGTTCTCTTTTGGGACAGAGTATAATAACTACCTATAATTTCTTCTATAAAGTAACCTTAAAATTGTTTTTTAAATTTTTCTCTGATTAAAATTTAGCATATTATTATAAAACTTAATTTTATACTCTGGCTTTTTACTAATGCCATTCTATTAACTGTTTAATTGCAGGTACTGATCCAGGGAAGGGTGACTAAGGTTAGGTTTACTAAGTGACTACATCCCTATTTGGATATGTTATATAAAAAATATATTTTTTTGTATAATAAATATTTCAAATGTCTTAAAGTCCAACAATTTAAGTTATAAATCAAATTGTTAATATTGTCATTACTTCTAATTTTTATAGTTATCTATAATCTATTATGAAATTATCTACTTACCAAAATTATTATTGTATTTTTTCTGATAAAAAGTGTAGCCCCCTGTTTTCAGTTTTGTGAATGATTAATTATCATTGTTCAGAAATTGATACTTTTGTATAAAACCTACTTGGCTATTTAACTGCAAATCATATAGATGAAGAAAATGATGAAAAATCACTTTTTAATAAGTTGTGATTACAAATTACAAGCCTCTCATTTTTTTCCCAATATAATCAAACATATCCTCTGGAGAATCTAAATATTCTGATAGAATAACAACTCCAGTACAAAGGTAAGTGTTAAGATCAAGATCCGTCAGATCTTTCACTGCGTCTCTTATACATTCTTCCATGTCGACGAGTTCTCTTGCTGTAAATTTTTCAGGTACTCTGCCATTCACATTATTCAAATGTTCTGTTAAAGTTATGTACACTTTGCCCGGTTTATCATTTGAATAATGAATATCTTCTTGGATATCTTTTAGAAGTTCATAAAAGAAGAATTGCTCCTTGTTGTATCTGTGAATGTTCTCCATGATATCTGTAACATTTGAAACATTCAATATCATTAATCACAAATGTATTTATTTGGCATGAGATAACTGCCTATAAAGTATCAGTTTGACTGAAAATAAACTCATGGGTTACTAAAATGTGATATAAATATTTTATATTTCTCAACTGTTATTATGTAGTCATATTAATCTATATTTGATATCAATTATATGTAGATAAATACGTCCATAAATAAAATATTTCTATCGTCAATAGAAAACAAGAATGCCCATAAATGTTATTTTGTTATTTTTTTGAAAAAGATCTAATATATTCTATAATTAATTATTTATTATACATTTTTACTAGATATATTACAAAGCACTGTTATGAAAGTGAAGGGTACGTTTTGTAGAAATTTGATACTACAAAACTAATAATGGATATAAATATAATAAGAAAGATTTAAGTAATATGTACATTTAGTTCTGAGTAGTTATTAGTTAAGACATCAATCAAATATTTATTCTTACCTAGTTTCAATTTCTTAAAGAAATATCAATAATACAAATTGGCGATGTATCTGTACTTCTGGTTGGCAGAAATGAAACAATATCTTCTACGCTTGAACTACATGAAAAAATAAAACACCATTATTATTTTTAATTTAAAACTATTATATTCACCAAGGTTATACATCAAATGTTAGACCTTCCAATTGTGTTAATGTGTTATTGTTAGTCTCCCGTATCGGTAGTAACCTCTTAGTTATTAATTAGTTTTGCAGAATGTAAGACAACACTGTCAGAAAATTAGCCATGTCTTGCTCAATTGTTAACAAGATCATGTTTGGATTAAACATTATGTATGTGTTTTGCATAAAAACATGAAAAACTGGTACTACTGTGTTACAATGTTTTCAGGATTGAGCAAGGTACTTAGATACCACAATAATAGTATCTCGTTATAAAGTATAGAGTACATTAAGTATCTAAATACAACTTTCAAGATACTAACCGTACAAAGATATTTGAAATGTTTAATGAGCTTGTTTAAGTTAGGCTATACTTAAAAACAACTTATTGTTTAATATATAGTCAGGGTTTGGCAGTATCTTACAAGTATTTTAGGTAAAATTGAATCTTGTGTCTTGAGTCCCGGTACAGTTATAAGTAGTAACTAGTATTTTGTATTGCAATACATTAAAGCTATAGTTTGAAAAATAAATTTTTTAACAACTATTGCACCTATACTCGGGTAAGGTATATAATGCTTCTATAGCCACGCTACTTTAGAGGTTTAGCCTACATGGGGGGTATTTAATTGTATATGATAAAATTAATTTTTTAAATATACATGGTAATTATCACATTGTTAAATTATTTTTTTTTTCGATTCATTATTCGGTTATATAAATAATCCTACAATGAACAGATTGCATGATATTACTTTTGTAAAAGTATAATTATTAAAAGAAAATGTGTTATATACAAAATAAAGTAAATGGATAACCTAGACTATTATTATTGTTCATTGTAATTGAACATTATAAAATACCAAAATTACTATAATTCAATATCCATTACCTAAAGTAGTATTATAATAAATCTTGTAAAAGATACTTTTTAAAGGTATTCAAGTATGGATACTTATTTTGTAAAATATTTTTTACCTCCTCTTAAAGTAATCAACTATTTAAAATAATTATATAATATATATAAATATAAGTTTTAGAAAACTCATGGTTAATTTTCTTGATGACTAGGTATCAAGTATTGTGTACCTACTACCTAGTATCATAATACTCTATAGACAAGTATCTAGTACCGTAATACTTCAAAGACAAATATCTAGTTTCTAGTATTATAATTTGCAATACTGCTTTTTAAGTATCTTGCCCATCACTGAATATAGTAATATATTACACAAGTAACTAGTAAGTAAAAGCTACCCAGTTAATAGCTACACAATTAATCAAGCATACATTTAAGTCAAACACTGTTAACACTTTTAAATTGATCACCTGTGATCAATTCATACTTCATAGAAAGTAAGTTAAAATCAAACAATACATACCAACTCTTAACCATCAATGTTTATTCATTATGGAAATTGAACAACATTATTATGATACTGAAAATAATAATCAGTTTTAAATTATATTTTTGTTTTAATATCATAATATCTATTCTGTTTACATAATTATAATTTATAGGTATAAGAACATTTTATTTACATATTATTTTCAAAAATATATTTGATTTCCATAGGCTGTATTTGTTTATAAATAAAGTTTGAATCTTATAGCTCTATAAAACAATAAAAAAAGCACCTAAACTATTTTTAATAAGCACACTAAAGTTGTATAATAGACTCGTACCTATTAATCTTGTTTTTTTATTATTTAATAATATATGAGTTTATAACTATACCTATAACAAGTTATAGTTAATTTAATATTCTGAATTGTAATTAAATACATAAAAATATATGTAAAAAATATTAAAAAGTTGATGGACACGGCCAGCAGACCTAGGGGGACAATGGATAAATGAAAATCACTGTTAATCAAACTATATATGTACATTTCCAAGATACACATGGGTACATTGTTGTATTAAAAATGTCATTAATACATTTGTGGATGACTTATATGTAATATAACATGTTTGTTTGGCCCTAATTAAACTATTTATAATATGTGCAGTCCACACATTATTTATTTTTTTATTATTACATATAATAACATTTTTGGAAGAGTGCTTATGATTGATTGTGAATACAGATACTTTAAGTTCCACTGTAATATAAAATTGTGATTTAAATTCTGCTTCAAGCCTAAATATTCTTACCAATGATAACTGAGTTGCTATAACTTTACTTTTAAGTATACCATTGTCTATGATATTTTGTACCTCACTTTGTACAAAATTCAATAGTACATGCGATTAAAATTGATACAATCTTTTTATAAGCTAAGAAATTGTATACTAAGTATTTATTATATTTGTTGACAGTCGTATATTAAATTTAAAATTTTCGTTGTCCCTTACATTATTTTTTATTTAAGTTTTATAGTAATCTAAAATGTTCATCATTCCTAATAATCATACATTTAAATTTAGTACTTTACCTATTTTGCAACAAAAATATACAGAATACATTCTTTGAAATTTTAAAATCTACTTGCCCACTATTTTTAAATTTATTATAATTGTTTATTTATTTAAATTTTATATTCTCAAGCATGTCTATCGTGTATGTTTTTTTTTTATATTTGAAGTCTGTAGAAAAAAAACGATGGATTGGTATTACACTTGTAAACATAAAATAGGTATTCAACACAACTTATTTAATTGAACAATAACATATTCGTATTCTCCCGGTCGTCAATAAGGTTAGGTTAAAAATGACAACATAGTATTATAAGACCTAGGGTTATAATTAAAGACTGGATTTTGCATAAAATGCATGTTGCTATTTTCAACATCATAGACATGCAGTCAATGAGTCTCCATAAATCATTACTTGATTGATTAAATATCAAAATGTTATAGTGCATATTTTTGCATATTCTGACGTTAGTGCATGTTTTGCATATTTTTGCATATTATATCAAAAAACCGTACAAATATACACCTAACAATCAAAAAATGTGTTGAACAAACATAGAAAACAGATTATAGGTACTTTTATTCAATATTAATATGAAATATTTTACATCTCAAAGAATAGTCGGGCGCTAAAAATAGGTTAGGTTGTTGTTTTTCCAATTAACATCCTACATTAAATTTTTCGTACTTTTTTTCTATTTATATCACTATATCACCAATGTATCTATTATTTAATTTTTTAACAATGTATCAATGATAAAAAATTAAATTACAATTTAACAAATTATATTGTTGTATTACATATTTGTTATATTATACATCTTACTTTTTGTTTATGAAAATGTTAATAAAACTAATAAATAATTATTACTTCAAAACTAAAATCAAATATAACATGTAATAAAAACTGAAATTTAATTTTGCATATTTTGCATCTTTTTCTTTTTTTAGTGCATGTTTGCATGCATATTTCAAAATTTTAAATGCATATAAATCCGGTCTTTAGTTATAATTATACCAATACATAAAAAAACATTGTTGGGGGGTAAGAAATATTTTTATTATGCATAGGTTACATATACTTATGATAAGGCATTTTAAAATTGAATTGAAAAAGCATAGAGTATTGTACATAAGTAAATTACATGGCAGGCCAATACAACACAGAAAAAGATAAGAGTACGATTGTTAACCCTGGCTTAAAAATGAACATGTTCCATAATGATCCAAATGCTCCATCAGAATTAAAGGTAAATACAATTTATTATTTTAAATTAGGTTGATAATAAATATATAAAACATGTATGTACATTAATGCAATAATTATAAAACAAAGGGCAATTTTATTTATTTCTGTAGAATTGCATTTTTATTTTGTTTAAAAATGAATATTTTTTTCTTAAATGTTATGTAAATTTTGATAGATTTTTAACTAGAGGTTTATATAAATATGATTTCATCGTTATTTATTATTGTAGACTTAAAAAGTGAAAATGCATGTTTCATTAATCCTGGTATTATCACTCATATCAAAGTTTGTTTAGATGATTATAATATAACTATTGATTTTGAATAAATATATCATAATACAGTGAAACCTGACTTAACAGATACCTCTCTGATCAACAGAATGATTAAGTCTCGGAGAAACTACCTGTCTGTAACGAACAATTTATACTTCAGACACAGACACTTAAATTTTTCCTTGATACCTTGATAACGGAAATCAATCATACCTCAAAGTCAACTATGTATTATGCAACAGCATAGCGTGAGGTGCAATGACCTGTCGTTAAAACTGGATGATGAAGGCACGGATTAGGACTGATCACAATTTACTCTTACATCCCTGATAACAATATTACTTTTATTTATAATTATGTATACATGTTTAGTTAACAATGAATGTATGCGTGTACCTATATGTAATATTTATTAATACCTAGTTACTATCTGATAATTTTCAAAAAAAAAACATTTTAAATAAATAGATACATGCCAATGGCCTACATGAGTTTAACTAAAAAGATAGAAGAACCTGCCTGAAATAGACAACTATATATAATGGATACCATTGATGACCCCAAGACTGTCAGTTAAATACAGATTTCAGATGAAATTATAGGAATAGAGACAACAGAAAAGTGTTTGCATCTACAGAAAATACACACACTTTTGACATTATTTTGTACACGCACACATAACACAAGTGACATAGGCTTCAACTCTATCCAGTATTTATAGTTTATGATCTAAAGTTGATGGTATACAAAGTTTGTTTCAAATTCCAACATTACCGTGTACCGACCGCGGACAGCTGATACAGAGTTGAAGAGTCTGAGTAGATATAAAACTGGTCGCACTACTAATTTGTTAAACAAAAGATTTTGCACCAGTGGTCTCCTTTGAAAATCTAAACGATTTATAGATTTTGTATAACGAATATCAAATAACTTTTTATGGAAACAAATTTATATTAAGCAAAACACATTGACAACGTGAGAAATGTTGTACGACTGAGATGGCATAAAACAGCGTTGATACTTTGATAGAAGATTGGAATAATTTGAAATTTGGATCTAAACAAAACAGTATGAATATTCCATATATTTAAATTGTACACAAACAAAATGATGATAAAAATGATAGCAAAGTATTTTCAACTTAATCAGTGTAAGCAAATATATAATGATAACAGTTATCCAATCAATAAAATATCATATACAAAACTTTACTGATAATTAATACATACCATTACTAAAATACCTATTATGGAAGAGAATAAATAAGTAATTATTTTATATTTAGTCTTGCTGCATACGATGACTTTACTATTTAAAAACATCAGTAAAGATTCGTAAGGTTGTTGAGGTGCTTCGTTGCAGAAATCAAATTGTCACTATTTACGTAAAATTACACAATTACTGAGATTGATATGGAGTCTAAGGTTTCTATCAAAGTTAAGTGGTAAATACTAAATAGACAAGTAAACTACGATTATTATAATATTTATCTTACTTATATCATTCGACACAAAATAATAATGTCATACACTTTTCATTTTGTATCCTTAAAATGTTCGTGCCACCGAAAACGATTCATCAAGGTATTTTTTATTCAGTTGAAAATGTTTAACAAATACAGATGAGATATTCAAACTTATCGACTTATTACTGTATGCTGATGAAGGAAATACACCTAGAAGGTAATTGGGTAAGTTTAATTAAGAAAACCAAATTTTATTAATGAGAATTATTTTCTCCTACAATTTACTATGGTTTACCTAATATAGAAATTATTTAAACTTCTGTAACTTTCCAATTATGGTTTACAGCAACAAAAATAAATCCAGTTGCTTGAAAAATAGATAAAAAAAAACCGTTCAATTAAAAAAACAGAGGAGACTTCATAAACATGGTCGGAATATAAACTCGGTGTCCTTACTAAATGTTATGTAAGTATAAGAAATGATACGCATTACCTAATAAGTAGAAAAATTGTATCAATTCATGAGAATTCTAATTGAAATAAACTACATAAAACTGATGAACAAAAACATTTTATCTGTTTATGTTATGTTCTTATTATTGAAAACACAATACTGATTATTGTTCAAATTTTTTTTTATATTTCATTTAAATAATCCATTAATATTTACCTAAATAACTAACCCAATAGTTTCAATATCGCTAGTTATATTCATATGCTGTAGACAAAATAGTTAATCATTTATTGATGTTATGAGAAATTTTTTTATTTATTATCGTTATAGAATCCCTTGGCAGTAAAACTATAAAACTATTTTAATGTTGAACAAATATGATTCCTTACTGAATTGCTAATTGCGTCAGAAGTTATCATATGATATATGGGATTTACAATAATTGGTATCATTATTTGGTATTTAAAAATTCTAATTTAATTAACTCATATTTCTTTTTCATTTAACAGCGTAGAAGTTCTCTTAAAATTGGCCCAGTCTTCCAAAAAAAAAAAAAATAAATATAAAAAATAACTACTTTAAAAATGTATAATATAAAAAGTCAAAAGACAATTTTTGGATCAAATAAAAATGTAAATCCTGTACAAACAGTTATTGATACATTCACTTTAGAATTACTCGAAATGAAAATGTATTTCTCCATATTATTGTAATTCAAGAGTGCATATACAGTGTAAACAATTGACACAACAAAAACAAGATTTAATTATCAGACATAAATTAAACAAACTTATTTTATTTAATAATGTTCAATCTGACTTGTATAATATTGGTAATATATGGGATTTACAATAATTGGTATCATTATTTGGTATTTATAAATTCAATAAACTTAACTGACATTTCTTTTTCAGTTAACAGCGTAGAAGACCTTTCAAAATTGGCCCAGAGTCTTCAGAAAAAACAAAACGGATTTCATTTGAATTCAAAACACAAAAGAAACTACAGGGGTGGATAATACAGAACGAAATGTCCCTGTTCGATGTTAATCTCATAAATGTAAGTAAAAACTATACACTGCAAGAAGATATATAAAATAATAAAATACAATACTGCAATTCAAGTTCTGTAAATATATCTTATTAGATTAACATTAGATCATGCTCGTCAGTGTGAAATGTAAATGCGCTAAAGTCATGCACTCAGGAACAGCATATATTTTTAATTATTTGAAGTTTGTAAATAAATGTATCGTGTTACTTTTAAAAACTATATGAAATCATTGTTACAATTTATTTTCCACTGATATGTTAAATTAAAATTAAGAAATAACATTTTTGAAGCAATCAAAACAGATTTTGTATTTTTGCAAATTTAATTGTTTAATGTATGTTTGTTGTGCTCCAATGATAAGCATCACTTAATTAGTATAGGCATAGTGTAATAATTTATATGAATTCTAATTTTAATAATCTACAAATAAAAGATTAATAACAACTTTTTCTCCTTCTATGTTATGTTTTTGTTATTGAAACACAATACTGATTATTTTTCAAATTAATTTTAATAATCTCAATTGTTAATTATATTCATATGTTGCTGACAAAAAAGTCAACCGTTTATTATTGTTATAGTAGCCCGCAGAGAGTAAATCTTAATAACTTAAATCGTTATGAAATGTTAAGCAAATAAGATTTATTACTGAAACACTAAATTTGTACACATAATTATGGTAAATTATGTATGGGTTTATGACTCGTTTTATGATGACTATCATCATTAATTCATATTTATAAATTCAACAAAACTTAACTGTTTATTCTTTTTCAGGTACAAGACAAATTGGCCAAACAAAATGGCCCAGTCGGTGTCTTCTTAATTAAAAACATTTCATTTGAATTCAAAATACAAAACATACTACACCAATGTGGTTTGAATAGAACCAAATGTCAATGTTCTATGTTTATCTCATAAACATATGAAAAAATCATCCACTTTATGAAAAGAAATTAAGTAATTTAATACAATGTCAACTCACAGTTAAACAGCTACAATAGTAAGCGATTGTCAATAACTTTTTTTTTTTTATTAAAAATTAACTTTGAATACCAAAGAAGTTACATGAAGTCCTAAGAAGCAGCAAAGTATTGTTAATTATTGCCTAAGGTCCGGCCAAACTACAGACTGACATTGTTGATTGACAATTTACTCATATCCAGATTCAATCGTTTTTTATATTATAGCTGGGACAATAAATTAACTAACTTGTTGCATCAACATACGACCGCTGACTACCGTTAATACATTATTGTTTTTGATTTATAAACCTCTAAATTCGCAATACTATATGCTGTTGTATATACCAATATTACTTTATGCTAAATAGTTAAATTGTTCATATTCTGTATTCATAATAATAGGCCAACAAAGCAAATGAACTGAGGCTTTATTTTTTACTTTTTAATTTTTTATTTATCTTCGACTACATTTCTTTTATGCACCTCGGATATTCAAATTGCGTTATAAGAACTTTATTGTTAGGTATACTATGGTCATTTATAGCAATTTTTGTAATTTATTATTTTGGTATTAGCATATTAGTTAGGCATCTATAACTTAAGTGTTTAAATTCTTATTTGAATGTTTCATTGTTAAATCAATACTAGTTCTAAAAAATATCTTATTTGTTTATCATTGGACCATGTTGGTCAGTGTAAAATATTAATGCTATTATGTCATGCACTCATGAAGTTATGAACCATTAGCAATACCTTATTATTATTACCTAACCTAACCTAAATTTTATCAATTCGTAATAACTCTAGTATAAATAAACTACTTAAATCTGAAGAATTAAAACTTTTTATCAGTTTACATTATGTTTTTATTATTGAAACACAATACTGATTATTGTTCAAATTATTTTTTAATAATCTCAATTGTTAATTATATTAACATGTTGCTGACAAAAAAGTCAAATGTTTGATGCTGTTATGAGCAATGTTCGTGGCTTATTATTGCAAAAGTAGCCAATAGACAGTTAAACTATATAACTATTTAACCATTAAACAAATATGATTCCACTCTAAATCGCTAAATATGTACATACAGCTATGTCATAATGGTGTGGTGTGCGTTTATTGATGACTTTTAGTATTATTTTTTAGTTGTAAATTCATTATAACTGAACTGGCAATTCTTTTTCAGGTTGTTCTGTCTAGCAGTCCATGCAAAAGTAGTCCAATCAGTCTTCCAAAAAAATAAGCATTTCATTTGAATTCCAAGAATAAAATAAATTATACGGGCGTGCCTTATACAGAACGAGACGTCACTGTTTACTGTATATCTCTTAAACATATGGAGAAATCATACACTGTAAGCAAATTAATTAAGTAATTTCCCCCGGGGTCATTTCACAATTAAGCAGCTACAATAATAGACAATTGTAAAAATGATTTTCTCCTAATCAACTTGGAATAATCAAATTAGATGGTGAAATCTTTGCGTTTTGAGAACTTTATTATTAATTGTTAAACATACTATTGTTGTACTAAGCAATAATAATATACTACAATCATTTGTAATTTGTATTATTTTGGTTTAGCTTATTAATTTGAAATGTATTACTTAAATGTTATGACTCTTATTGAGCGTTTCATTGTTAAATCTTACAAGTTCTACAATAATATCTTATTAGATTATCATTACTATGCTTGGCACTGTACAATTTTATTGTCATAGTCACGAACTCTTAAATAATATACATTTTAAATTTTTTTAAGTTAATGAATAAAATGTATCATTGTACTTTTAAAAAACTACATACAAATGATTGTTACATTCTATTTTTCACTAAAATCATGTTTTTTATTAAAATTATATTTTAACGAGATTTTAACAGACACTACTTAATTTAATTTAAAATGCGCTGACATTAAATCATAAGATTTTCTTATATTTTTGATGATTTTTAGTGTTATAAACTATATAACAAAGTTGAGAACTTACCAGTGTCTTCAGCCATGGTAATTAGTATTGCGCTATAGCGCATAGTGTTCTGTTGTTGTATTTTACTCACACAATTTTTATCAAATCTTAACACTCATTCTTTAGACAAATATAATAAGAATTATAATATAAATATGATATAGGTAATAGTCATGTAAATAATAATAATAAATGTACAGATATGACATACCAGTATAATAATCACATATACAATAAGATTACAATTTAAAATTAATAATACTAATATAATTAACATAGTCATAAGCAACATAACATACGTTTACAAATTAATTTACATGCCCAAAAGAGGTCAGGCGTTGTCATCCAAGTTCAATTCATCGGAGTTCACATTCAAAATACATGGTTCTCATCGGTCATAAACTCATCAATCATGAAGTCCATGTTCCATAATTTTTCTTCCTCGCCAACTGCATATTCGATACAATTTTTCCACAAGTCCGAATTTACTCTTTGGACGCCTTCAATTGATAGTCGTTTGACATCACGAATCTTTAAAGTTGAATTATCCATTCTGACAAAATTTTTTATGGCAGACCATATAAGCTCAATTGGATTGAGCTCGCGATGATATGGTGGTAAACTAAGTATATGTATATTATGTGTCTTGACTGTTTCATCTGCATATTTTTCGTAAATTGGCTTCAGTGTATTGACAATTTGAAATAGCTCTTCAGTAACCATAGAAGTATCTACAATGTCTCCTTTACTTTCAAACCAATTAATAATATCAGCTTTCGTTGTATTTTTTGTTGAGTATTTGTCCTTTTGCATGGACCGATAAAGAGTGTTGTCCATGACAATAACTGCATTGTGTTTGAGTCTAGGTAAAACATTTTCAAACCATTCACGAAAACATTTACCATACATTTTACCCTTTTTATCCTTATAGCCTTTAGTTTTTTCTTAGACTCTAAGCACAACAGACCGTCAGTGACAAATCCATCTTCAGAACCTAAATGGCAAACAATTAGAAGTTTCCCCTTCCAATTTGGTTTATCGCACCCAAATCTATTTGGAACGTCACCAGCACCGATCTTAGTCTTGCCCAAATAGTATATTTGGCGACCCTCTTCTNAAACAAAATGGCCCAGTCGGTGTCTTCTTAATTAAAAACATTTCATTTGAATTCAAAATACAAAACATACTACACCAATGTGGTTTGAATAGAACCAAATGTCAATGTTCAATGTTTATCTCATAAACATATGAAAAAATCATCCACTTTATGAAAAGAAATTAAGTAATTTAATACAATGTCAACTCACAGTTAAACAGCTACAATAGTAAGCGATTGTCAATAACTTTTTTTTTTTTATTAAAAATTAACTTTGAATACCAAAGAAGTTACATGAAGTCCTAAGAAGCAGCAAAGTATTGTTAATTATTGCCTAAGGTCCGGCCAAACTACAGACTGACATTGTTGATTGACAATTTACTCATATCCAGATTCAATCGTTTTTTATATTATAGCTGGGACAATAAATTAACTAACTTGTTGCATCAACATACGACCGCTGACTACCGTTAATACATTATTGTTTTTGATTTATAAACCTCTAAATTCGCAATACTATTTGCTGTTTATTTAAAGCAAAATACAAATTATTTATAAAATCGTTTATTTTTTTAATGAACATTTTAACCATAGTATCTACTTTATTTAAGTCCAAATACTTATGCCAATTTTCAGTGTTGATTAATAATTTTAAATGATTTTAAATAAATGTTTTATATCAAAATATCAAAATCTAAAGGTAGTGCTAATCAATCTAATTGCTATTGCTATGGCTATTACATTCTTTTGAATAATTGTAATTTACAATATACAATTAAAACATAACAAATACATTAATTAATATGTAGGTGTAATCAAATATTTTTAAATTAGTATCTTTCAATATTTGTATTAATAGATATAATGTTAATATGCTAAACAACCATATGTCATTACTTATAAAATAAAACCTTTATAGTTATTATTATTTATTAAGCATTTTTTTGTCTTTCTAATTTTAATTTTAATTAATTACAAGACTCAATTGCTGGATTATTCCGTTATTTTTTATTTTTTAATAAAACTTATGAAAGACATTATGCAATTTTTATATTACATGATCAATTTATAGTTTTTGAGTATTTACTCATTATAAGTAACCTTGTATGATTTTTGTTTTACTTCTATTTTTTTAGATAGCTTATCTTTTGAGTTACCTATATACATATATTGTAACAAGATAGTTAAATTGTTATATTTAATACTAATTATAATACAAGATTTACATTTATTTCTTTGTTTATTCATAACAAAAAATTGTTCTTAGCTGATACACTTTAATCTATTTTGCTTTTAATATATCTATTCATAACTGAAAAAGTATAAGTTAAGAATGACTAGTAATATATGCAATATATATCTTATGTATTATACAGCAGATAAGTTGAAAAGTGTCAATTTATAGATATTACATGTGTTGTTGTAGGGATATAAAAATTATGTTCAAGAGAAGTTGTATTTTGAACTCCCCTCAAACATAACTATTATGTTTTCATAGTATTATGATATCATAATTATTCAGATTCCGTTAAAATGTTGAAATTAATTTTCTCTTTTTCTTTAGTAAAATTATCTAAAAGATCAAATATAGCAGGGAGTAAATTGTTGTCATCAATATTTAGTTTTAAAGATTTGAACATCCAAGAAGATAAATGTAACAATTTTGCCAAGTTATAGATAGTTCAATAGGTCAAGGTCTCAGATCACCCCGATATAATACATTTTTTTTCTTCTTATTCTAATCATGGGTATAGAGTATTTTATCATATATTGGAGGGCATGTCGCTAGTAAGCAACTTGATTTACAGAGTGTCTAAATTGTCTTTCATCAATAACAAAAATGACTAATCCAAGAGTTGTTTTATTAATAAAAAAATAATACCAGTTGAAAACTAAATAAAACTAAATGTAAATATAGAAAATTTTATATTAAAATAAAAATTAGATTAAATTAAATCTATGTAGTCCTAGATACGACATTATTGTTTTAAATAATCAACATACAATTTTATTAAAACAGATTTCTGTAGGTACTAATCTATAGTTTCTATGAAAAAATGTGTGTTTAAAATTATATGTTATACGTTAATTGTGTATAAGTTTAATTTAGAGTTAAATAAGAAAAAAAATCACAAAATGCTTCTAGTGTTACAAGAGTATCACTAGATTTTGCACCACAATCTAACAGATGTAACATATATGTCCTCACTTTTAGAACTTTAGAAGCATAGATCGATGTTCTCCATCAGCATGAATCTTAAAAAGTATAATAATGAATATTATGCAAATTGAAAGGGAAATAGAGATAGACTCATATCTTATCATATTAAATTCAAATAGATGCAACAGATAAAGTAGTTGGCTGCTATTGCTTTATTACAATTCAAAACAGATAAATTAAAACAATAATAATTATTAAATATTTACAAGTTTTAAGTCATTACAAAGGTAAATTAAGTTTTTTTCAACAGAATCATCAATGACAGCATTTTTGGGTACCAGTTGCTTGCTAAATTTGCGTAGTAATGTATTCAAGGGTCCTATTTTCATCCTAAAAATAAAAATTATATTATCAATTATACACTATATATTACTGATTACCATTTTTTTTAAATATTTAACAAAAATCAACTATGCTTGATCCTCATATCTTATCATATTAAATTCAAATAGATGTAACAGATAAAGTAGTAAGCTACTATACCTTTATTACAATTTGAAACAGATAAATTAAAATAATAATAATTATTGAATATTTACAAGTCTAAGTTATTACTTATTATAAAGGTAAATAAAGTTTTTTTCAACAGAATCATTAATGACAGCATTGTTGGGTACCAGTTGCTTGCTAAATTTGCGTAGTAATGTTTTCAAGGATCTTATTTTCATCCTAAACATAAAAATTATATTATCAATTATACATTATATATTAATAATCACCAATTTTTTTAAAATATTTAACTAAAATCAACTAAGCTTGATACCTGCCAAGTACCTTTCACACTCTATCTGGGTATCAATTACCTAACGATTACCAAACAAGATATAACCAGATTCAAGGGACAACTGAAGACGGATCTTATAAAAAATTTTTAATTTTCATTCAACTGTGAAAAATGTGGCCAACACTTGGTTTTTAAAGGGCCACATAGTGGGGAACGTAACCACTGTCGTAGATAGTAAAGGTAGACGTAAGATACCTTCAGTATTATAACTACATTCACATTTTTTTAAAACCATTTCACAACTGTAGGCACATCAGATAAAGATTATATAAGATTTTATCCATGTCCCAGATACTTGTGGTTTACTTTTTGAGAGTTTAAATAATTGTTTTAATGGTTCATGATCTGTCACAAACAAACGACTATACATAAACTAATGACATTTACAAACACCAAAGATAATAGCTAATACCTCTGTATCTAACTGATCCACTGTTCCCCTGTATCTGAGAAAGGTCCCTTGCAAGCATAATACTAGGCTGTTCATCGCCATCTATGAAACCTATGGCTTAAAACTGAAATAATACCAAATCTAAAAGTTGCCACAACCAATGGCAAATCATTATTGTATAATACATGACAAGAATTTTCAGCGACTTTTACTAGTAAAACTTAATAACAGTTCCGTAACTTTTGAAAGAGAAAGCAATTAAAATTAATGGTAACAATTTAATAAACCTAAATATGATTTAAATTGTGCCACATTCAATGAAACAGGAGCATTTCAATAGCAATAACTGTACTTGGATTATGCTGCAAATCACTACCATTAACCGGTAAATAAGATAGTTAATAGACTCTTTACTTCACAAGGCTGAAGTGGAAAATGAGATAATTGAATATTATAGACAATAATAGGTAGCAGTGACAGCTGTGTCAGAATCAACCTCATAATCTAAAAAAGTATTATTATTAACAAAAACAGTGAATTGCATTACTAACAACATTATCAATCCCTAAATGATTCAAGAATTTTTATTTAATCTACACACATGGGAATTTTGTGTTTTTTTCAACAGTTAAAACAAACTTACGATTTAACAGCATTTTTACGTTTGGTTTTTCTATCCAAAACATTTGTCTTCTTCTTACATTCGTTTTTTTTCGACTTCTTACACACGAGTTTTTTCGACTTCTTACATTTTGGTTTTTTCGAATTTCTCCAAGGTGATTTGGATACAGGTTTGGACTGGCTCTCACTTGTGGATTCCGATTCATCACGTTCTTGAGAAGCGGCTGTACTTTCAATATCAATATCCATTACAATTTTGAATGCAGACTCAGACATTATTACACAGTGTAAATAGTGTAATTAACTATACTATACTCTGTTCAAAGGACAGTATCACTTTTGTCACCCGATTTTCGACAGTGCTGTCCCGCCAATGGCCGGTAAGTGAGCGGTCATTATCGCCTGATCCTTTGTGCTCGGGTTCGAGAGTGTAACACTACAATGTCCTTGGGCTGCGTTCATTGCGAGCGTAAACATATGGTTCTTATGCGTGGGTGTGTCGAGCTTAACTATATAGTTACGGAGGGAAAAATAAATCACCCCTATTTATTTATTCCATGATTTATTCACTTGTTTTTTTTTCGTGATACCATGTCTGTGCCAGGTGCAAAGCACATGGAAATTTCAAATTAGTTCAAATTACTCTTTGTGAGCTGCAGTGTAAGAGTGTAACCTACGTATTGTTTTTCTACCTCTATGACTGTGAAAAGCATTTTCTGTTTTCTTCATTCATTATTTTTTATTAAACAATGGAAGACATCAATTTCCACTAAGACGAAATCCTGAGGTAAATATAAATTATTCAATTAATATTTAATAATTTTATTATGATGATACCGTGTTGTCTCCATCTTAGAAAAACGTACATTGTACAACATAACAACTGGTTCAGCAGAACCAATTTTGTATTGTTAGCTTTAATATTATAGTGAATTTATCTATGATAAAAATTAAAGGTTCTAATAGTATCTGTAACATTTAGTCGTTTAATTACTGTATTTGAATTTTTAAATTACAGTTCTGCAACTTAGTTGTTATTTATTTATAAATTAAATTTTTAGGGCTGACATTTTGGGGGTCTTTTTTTATTTTTGATAAGACTAAAAAGTATGATAAATGATTATTATTTAGTATAACTATTGTATTCTTTGTTTCTATGGAAATAATATCTGTGTTTATATAATATTAAATATTTGAATAACTTTAATAAACTTAAAAAATATATCTATATAAAATTCATACTTAATCAAATTTAATTTTTCTTACTTTCATGTTTGAAAAATTTGTTAATAATTTTTCCACATCAATTTCTTTTGTATGATGTTGTATAATATTTAAAACTGAAATGTTGAACAGTTGCTCTTGTCCAGTTGAGTAAATAGTTTTCAAAAAAAGTAAATAGTTACTCAAATAGTTTTTTATTATTTTAAGTTTTGAAAAAGACTATTCTACTGTTTTCTGCTAAATTATACATGCTCCTTATATATCAGGATACCTCGTAGCAAAGTCGTTTTCGAGAATAAATGAGGCAAGCATTAATATACTATTCAAATTCTTATTTTTTATAATTTCTTTGACTGATATCAGTTGACTTGTTAAATCAGAACTTATATCTGATTGATACATTTATATAAAGTCATATGATCCTTTAAAAGTATTTTTATCTGGTCCTAAAAGTGTTTGAGGTTTCAAAAAATTGAAAATGCTCCTAACGTTAAATAAACCTTTAAAGCGATTTTTAAGTTGACATATTATTGTGTCAACAGTTGGTAAAAATACTTTTATTTTAAAATTACCTTATGTGATATTTATCCTTCTGTCACCATCTACTTCATCAAAAAACAATCTTGGTTTTTTTTTGGCAAGTCTCTTTATCATCAGTTGGAATAACCCATTTAATTGCCAGGTTGCTTACATTTTCAACTATACTACATTGTCTACAATAGTAATTCCTTAGTTGCTGCATACAAGTATAACCTAGTTAATCTATCTAATAATTTCTGGTGGTCTTGGTTGCTTCTGAAAAACGCGTTCCCACAAACAAAAAATAAGCAAAAATTTAAAAGATTCTATTTTTTTTTTATCAAAATTGCTATATGTTTTTCATCTACTTTTATTATTTGATAAACTCAAGTATGTTAATAATTGTATGACTCCAATATACCTTTCTTTTAATGCAGATACTGACTTGCCTAGCCTTGTCTCCCTGCGGGTAAGACAAACTTTTTCATACTAGTCTAATATTGTTTTGGCCGTGTCATCAACTAATGCAAGTGACATCCATTTAAGACAACTAGAACTAAAAAAAATTGAATATAGACTGTAATGTTGTAAAATAGTTGGATGCAACTTACTTCGATTTTGCTGCATTGTGTATTCGACACAGTAGAAAATGTTGTCAACTAAAATATTTAAAAAAATACCGCATAATATTATTTACAGTTGTGTGAAGAATGTTTTATTATAACTAGGTAGGTAAATGATATAAATAGTAACCTAAGTAAATTTAAAAAAAACCTTAACCGCCCAGTATTTAATAACAGATATTAACCAACATTATCCAAACTATTTTTCTATAAACATATTTAATGAACCTCTCAATTTCTATATTTGTTCATCTTTTTTTATTTTCAATTTCCTTTTTACCTAAAATGTTTTGACATTGAAAATATTATAAAAATAACTTAAAAGACAGTATTAGATATACATAAGTTAAAGTATTAATACCAATGATAAATATAAGTATTGTGATGAAAACTATTCTATGAAAAATGAAAATAGAAAGTACTGAGTAACTTTGTAATAATGAATGTGTAATAATTTATAATACATAGAGCCATACATAGGTTAGGAAGATAATTGATGAATTATTATTTTGTATGTAAATGTAAACCAAGAGATATTTTAATTCTATTTTATGTTTGTATTTTTGTAGTGGTTACTTTAGTGTCTTAATAATATAAATAGGTATGTTTAGAAGACAAATTGAGTATTCGGTGTAGCCAACGCCAAGCTGATCTATGTTTTTCATCATAAATCTTTTATTATACACTAAATTTATGAAATGAAATTGATTTGCCGCCTTAGACGATAGACCTCAACCTTATACCAGAGAGTTTTCATGTAGTCTGTGCTTACTGCTTATATTAGTACTGAAGCATAAGGACTATGTTTACAGCGTTATCACTAATCAATTTTTAACTCCTTAATATTTATTATTTGAAATATATTTCAATTCAAAATACATTTTTACAAAAACAAGAAAATAATAATATAATCCCCATCATGGGCCACATTTGAAAATAAATTTGGGCCCTCTGGTATGACATTGCCTTGCTTGCCCGGGTGGTGGTTATGGTATTGGAATATTTAAAATATCCAAATAGCTCATGAAAAAATATTTAAGTAATTACACTAGAATTTTTTTTTATAATTTTTGTAAGTGAAACTAAAAAATAATGAACTTGATTTTCTTATTTTGGACAAGAATATTATGAATTTTTGACTACAAAATAACTTCAGTAAAAATGTTAACTTTAAACATTTAAAAAAAAGTGAGTTATCGAATTTTGATTTATTTTAGTTGCAATAAATACTACTTATGAAAAATCTGCCATAAGACAATCATCAATTCGTATGATTAATTTAGTTGTATTTGTCAGTATTTCTAGAAAAAAAATCAAAAAAATTTAAAATTTAAACTGAATATAAATAAATCGAACATACTTAAAGAACTTTGAAAATTATATAGATACCACATGTAATCATAATCCTAATATAAACATTTAGTGAAAATTTCTAACAAACTTTAAGTAAAAATTCCCATTTTACCATAATTGTGTTGTATTTTTTTTCTGATGCTTTTGAAAACTACTAAGGTTTTTTATTTTTATTTTTTTTATTTACAGGCATTTAAAATTTAAAATTTTTTTCTTAAATGTCAATAAAATTTTAATTTTTGCATCAAAAATCTTACACATTTTTTGTAAGATTACTGATATATTGTCACAATAGCAGTTGAAAGAGTCACAATTATTTATTTTGCAACTATTTAAAGTTCAAATTTTTACACAATTTATCAAATACAACATGTACAAATTATTTTGTAGATAAAAATGTATAAAATGTTCAACTCTTATAGCTAAGGATTAAAAATGTAAAACAAAGTTCTACGTAAGTAGGTTATTATGTAACCAAAAAATATAAAAAATATAGAAACACAGCTTTTTTACAGTTATTGTATGTTCAAATTTTGACAAAATGACATATGGAATAACCAAGAAAAATTATTCACAATATTTTGTCGTGTAATTTAAAAATATTATTTGTGGGTACTTGAAACTTTTAGAGTAGACATATTTTTTTAATAATAATTATTATTATTGTTATTAATTTCACCAATAATAGTAATGATTACAATATAAGAAGAAACAATAATAACAGTCTTGGTCTACTCATTATATATAGCCTATGACTGTGATATGAGTAGGAGTTATAAATAAAATATTTAACGGAAAAAATAATGATATAGCAAGATATGATTAACAATTACACAAAATAAACTTAAATAGAAATTTAATCTGACCTTACAACTAATTTAGCTAATAATGTTGATTATAATAGTGTATGTGGGAGATTTACAAAATCAATAGTATTAATTTATTATTAAATAATATACAATTGTTATCAAAAGAAAGTAAATTAATTTTTAAAGTAATACAAATTGTACAAAACACTAATAGAATATAAAATCTATCAATAATAGTTTTAAGTTTAGGAACAATAAAACCAATAGAATTATTGAGCCTTGTATTATAATTATGTGTAGATGTATCAATAATATTTCTGTGATCAAACATAAAAAGGCCTACATTTTTAAAGTATCAAGAATTTAAATTATATAGATTATTTTATTTAATACACATAAAATTGATTTATCAATACCTAGTTTTTATTATTTCAGTTTGTGTTACCTAGACAAAGGGAAATTATACTTAATGCATACAAGAACCAACTTACTCAAAACCCTAATGCTACAATGAATCATGTTAAAAAATCATTATCAAGAGAACTTGGAATTAGAGAGTCAACTATATGTAAAACAATCTTAGACTATAAATGGTCCAAAACAGTTTCGTCTCCTGATTGAACCAAAAACTTTATAACTGTCAAATATGAGGTGGATGATAATGATAAATGTGCTATACAACAGAAGGTACATCAATTTTGGTTTGATCATAAGTTACCGACGTTTAAAGAAATATTCCAAGTTGTTAAAAAAGATGAGAACTTATACTATATCTCTCATACCTCACTAGGTAGATTATTAAAATCTATGAACTTTAGGGGTGTGGAACAAGGTTGTAATAGAATTATGATAGAGAAACCTAAAATTGTTGTTAAGCGGAGGAAATATATAAGAGAAATACGACGATTTCGAGAAGAGGGTCGCCAAATATACTATTTGGGCAAGACTAAGATCGGTGCTGGTGACGTTCCAAATAGATTTGGGTGCGATAAACCAAATTGGAAGGGGAAACTTCTAATTGTTTGCCATTTAGGTTCTGAAGATGGATTTGTCACTGACGGTCTGTTGTGCTTAGAGTCTAAGAAAAAACTAAAGGCTATAAGGATAAAAAGGGTAAAATGTATGGTAAATGTTTTCGTGAATGGTTTGAAAATGTTTTACCTAGACTCAAACACAATGCAGTTATTGTCATGGACAACACTCTTTATCGGTCCATGCAAAAGGACAAATACTCAACAAAAAATACAACGAAAGCTGATATTATTAATTGGTTTGAAAGTAAAGGAGACATTGTAGATACTTCTATGGTTACTGAAGAGCTATTTCAAATTGTCAATACACTGAAGCCAATTTACGAAAAATATGCAGATGAAACAGTCAAGACACATAATATACATATACTTAGTTTACCACCATATCATCGCGAGCTCAATCCAATTGAGCTTATATGGTCTGCCATAAAAAATTTTGTCAGAATGGATAATTCAACTTTAAAGATTCGTGATGTCAAACGACTATCAATTGAAGGCGTCCAAAGAGTAAATTCGGACTTGTGGAAAAATTGTATCGAATATGCAGTTGGCGAGGAAGAAAAATTATGGAACATGGACTTCATGATTGATGAGTTTATGACCGATGAGAACCATGTATTTTGAATGTGAACTCCGATGAATTGAACTTGGATGACAACGCCTGACCTCTTTTGGGCATGTAAATTAATTTGTAAACGTATGTTATGTTGCTTATGACTATGTTAATTATATTAGTATTATTAATTTTAAATTGTAATCTTATTGTATATGTGATTATTATACTGGTATGTCATATCTGTACATTTATTATTATTATTTACATGACTATTACCTATATCATATTTATATTATAATTCTTATTATATTTGTCTAAAGAATGAGTGTTAAGATTTGATAAAAATTGTGTGAGTAAAATACAACAACAGAACACTATGCGCTATAGCGCAATACTAATTACCATGGCTGAAGACACTGGTAAGTTCTCAACTTTGTTATATAGTTTATAACACTAAAAATCATCAAAAATATAAGAAAATCTTATGATTTAATGTCAGCGCATTTTAAATTAAATTAAGTAGTGTCTGTTAAAATCTCGTTAAAATATAATTTTAATAAAAAACATGATTTTAGTGAAAAATAGAATGTAACAATCATTTGTATGTAGTTTTTTAAAAGTACAATGATACATTTTATTCATTAACTTAAAAAAATTTAAAATGTATATTATTTAAGAGTTCGTGACTATGACAATAAAATTGTACAGTGCCAAGCATAGTAATGATAATCTAATAAGATATTATTGTAGAACTTGTAAGATTTAACAATGAAACGCTCAATAAGAGTCATAACATTTAAGTAATACATTTCAAATTAATAAGCTAAACCAAAATAATACAAATTACAAATGATTGTAGTATATTATTATTGCTTAGTACAACAATAGTATGTTTAACAATTAATAATAAAGTTCTCAAAACGCAAAGATTTCACCATCTAATTTGATTATTCCAAGTTGATTAGGAGAAAATCATTTTTACAATTGTCTATTATTGTAGCTGCTTAATTGTGAAATGACCCCGGGGGAAATTACTTAATTAATTTGCTTACAGTGTATGATTTCTCCATATGTTTAAGAGATATACAGTAAACAGTGACGTCTCGTTCTGTATAAGGCACGCCCGTATAATTTATTTTATTCTTGGAATTCAAATGAAATGCTTATTTTTTTGGAAGACTGATTGGACTACTTTTGCATGGACTGCTAGACAGAACAACCTGAAAAAGAATTGCCAGTTCAGTTATAATGAATTTACAACTAAAAAATAATACTAAAAGTCATCAATAAACGCACACCACACCATTATGACATAGCTGTATGTACATATTTAGCGATTTAGAGTGGAATCATATTTGTTTAATGGTTAAATAGTTATATAGTTTAACTGTCTATTGGCTACTTTTGCAATAATAAGCCACGAACATTGCTCATAACAGCATCAAACATTTGACTTTTTTGTCAGCAACATGTTAATATAATTAACAATTGAGATTATTAAAAAATAATTTGAACAATAATCAGTATTGTGTTTCAATAATAAAAACATAATGTAAACTGATAAAAAGTTTTAATTCTTCAGATTTAAGTAGTTTATTTATACTAGAGTTATTACGAATTGATAAAATTTAGGTTAGGTTAGGTAATAATAATAAGGTATTGCTAATGGTTCATAACTTCATGAGTGCATGACATAATAGCATTAATATTTTACACTGACCAACATGGTCCAATGATAAACAAATAAGATATTTTTTAGAACTAGTATTGATTTAACAATGAAACATTCAAATAAGAATTTAAACACTTAAGTTATAGATGCCTAACTAATATGCTAATACCAAAATAATAAATTACAAAAATTGCTATAAATGACCATAGTATACCTAACAATAAAGTTCTTATAACGCAATTTGAATATCCGAGGTGCATAAAAGAAATGTAGTCGAAGATAAATAAAAAATTAAAAAGTAAAAAATAAAGCCTCAGTTCATTTGCTTTGTTGGCCTATTATTATGAATACAGAATATGAACAATTTAACTATTTAGCATAAAGTAATATTGGTATATACAACAGCATATAGTATTGCGAATTTAGAGGTTTATAAATCAAAAACAATAATGTATTAACGGTAGTCAGCGGTCGTATGTTGATGCAACAAGTTAGTTAATTTATTGTCCCAGCTATAATATAAAAAACGATTGAATCTGGATATGAGTAAATTGTCAATCAACAATGTCAGTCTGTAGTTTGGCCGGACCTTAGGCAATAATTAACAATACTTTGCTGCTTCTTAGGACTTCATGTAACTTCTTTGGTATTCAAAGTTAATTTTTAATAAAAAAAAAAAAGTTATTGACAATCGCTTACTATTGTAGCTGTTTAACTGTGAGTTGACATTGTATTAAATTACTTAATTTCTTTTCATAAAGTGGATGATTTTTTCATATGTTTATGAGATAAACATTGAACATTGACATTTGGTTCTATTCAAACCACATTGGTGTAGTATGTTTTGTATTTTGAATTCAAATGAAATGTTTTTAATGAAGAAGACACCGACTGGGCCATTTTGTTTGGCCAATTTTACTTGTACCTGATTACATACCTGTTTTGTTTTTTCTGAAGACTGGGCCAATTTTGAAAGGTCTTCTACGCTGTTAACTGAAAAAGAAATGTCAGTTAGTTATATTGAATTTATAAATACCAAATAATTATTGTAAATCCCATATATTACCAATATTATGTAACTCAGGTTAAACATGATTAATAAATAAAATAAGTTTGTTTTATTTATGTCTGATAATTGAATCTTGTTTTTGTTGTGTCAATTGTTTACACTGTATATGTACTCTTGAAGTACAATAATATGGAGAAATACATTTTCATTTTGAGTAATTCTAAAGCGAATATATCAATAACTGTTTGTACAGGATTTACATTTTTATTTGATCCAAAAATTGTCATTGGAATTTTTATATTATACATTTTTTAAAGCAGTTATTTTTATATTTTAAGAATATGCTTGATTGCATTTTTCAGTGGATAATAAATATTAAAAATAAACATTGATACAAATTTCAATTTACCTCGATTTTATTTTACAAACATAATCTGTTACTGCCATTAATGAATAGTTATGATCCTTACTAAAAATATCTTTATTAAATATTATGTCTTCACTAAATGAGCATGGAAACTTTTCAATAAATTTATAAGCTGCATTAACTGCATATAATAATGAATATTTTTTTGATAATGACTAAATGTATTGTCATCTAGATATGATAATGACAATACTTCTACTTCAACAATAAATTCTTTATCTACATAAATACTTTGTTCGTGTGATAGAGAAAAAATTTCAATAGAAAGAGATTCATCTTTGTCATCCAACTATAAGCAGTTGGCATTTTCACTGGGTAAAACAGAATTATTATACAACATTTTACGAATATTCCATTTGAATTGAAGAGCAGAAGGATTATTGTTCCAACCCCATGCAGATCTAATACATGCAAATGTAATTGCTGCATGATATTGAGATGTTTTATAGGGTAGGAAATATATTAATAGCTTATTTTCTTTTGTTAATAAATCTAATGCTAAATTGTTATAGCTGAAAATATTAATCAAAAAACCTAATGTAACAGTGTTGTAAAATATTCTTTTTCTCTCATTTCAATTGTAAGGTATAACCCTTAGACCTCTCAAATATTTATCCACAAACAAATTGATTACTCAATTGCATAGGAGACTTCAATCCTTTGTTTTTATAAAATATATGTAATGAACTTAATTTATTGCGAAATTCAAATTTTCAATTTGCTGAATTTTATGAAATTGTTTACATTATCAAATGATTTAATATTGCCTGAATGAGGTAAACTTAATTCAGCCTTACAATTTCGATAAATGTTCATAGGATGGCAATGATCAACAATACAATGAATATTTATAAGAGGTTCATCTATATGAGGAACAGATGATTGAATATTTGTATGATCTAAGCTACAATCTAAAACTGCATAAGTCTTCAAATTTGTGGTTGTTCCATCACTTGTCAGAGATCAAACTGTAATTCCAGCTTCGTAGAGAACTGAGATGTCAGAAGGTACTAATTGTCTCTGTACTGCAGAATTTATTTTATTAATACAAAATAGGCAACTGGACACTTATATTTTTTATTTAAACTACAAATTATGAAAACTAGTGCTTCTTTTACGAACTCTTAATTGTCTGTGTGCACAATGCCACCAAGATCACAATTTCCATGCACTATCAGTCCAAAAATCCCTCACTAATTGACATGGCATTATAAATCAAAGCAACATCTTTTACATGCAAAAATTTAGATGAGTCAGACTTCAGTTTTTATTTAAAATAATCAATTACTTCACGTAAATGATTGCAATGTCCAGTTGCTAACCATCAATAAAATATAGTAAAAGGATCTGGTAGAGTACTTTTTTGCCTGAAAAACTCATATGCTCATGGAGAATGAAAATGCAACTTTAAACAAAATTCCCGTACTTCTTCTGAGTATGATTTGTGATTTGAAGCATAGTTTACATTAGCAATTTAATTTTGAAATAAAGCAAAAGGTAGAGAAGAGTCAAATTAGTTCTTAAAAATATCTTTAACAGTATCCCCGATTAAGTGATAGTTATTAAGTTATTTTTTAATAAATGTAACATTTCAAGCATACTACTTACTCGCTTATATCTTATTCTCTAATCATTTAATGTTTTTTCTAATTCTTCTCCAGTTGATCTGTCTGTATGCCAAACACGAAGTTGGTCTATGTTTCACAAGTAGATAATATATTTTCACTATTATGAGCATCTGTTATTGTGGTTGTGTCCTTTAAAATACATTTAAACAACAATTTCAATAAAGAAAACAAAATTCCTAATGATATAAAAGTATATAAATACTTGTTATAGTATGTATAATTTACTTACTTCTAGTTGTGGAATTCTCTTTTCTTTAATTTTTAGAGTTAAATGATTGGGGAAATTAAATACTGTTGGTACAACAGATTTCACCATCATTTGTTTCCCACTTACAACTGCTGAATAGAAGTCAGTTTTACTTAAATGTAAATTATACAAAGTTGAGCTGGAACTAGGTTTAAAATCTTTCCTCCGAACAACATGTACCCATTTTTGAAGCCTCTCTTTCTCTTCAAGAGGGAACCTTAAATATAAAAAAATAAATATACATTTGTTTCAAATGATCAATGAATAAGATCAATAACACTATACTACAACACGTTATACTTTACTTGTGAAATGACAAGCCATTTCTAACATCACTAAAGCTAGTACAATTAAAAGCACTACAACAATTCATCATCCTAAGTCTTAACTGCCCACTATTTTAATTTTTTTTTAAGTTTAAGACTTTTAAAACTTTGAAAACGAAGAACAAAATGTTAAACGAACAACATTGTTAATTCAAATTTATTGGTAAGCAATCATAATTCATATAATTATGTGTGATAAAAAAAAATTAACAGCACTTATCCGCTGTCTTTTTCTAACGCGTTATCTCGATTGTGTTAACAGTGGTCTTGTGGCTGTTGAACATTCTAATTATCATATGGAGTTCAATGGTCATCAATACTCAATAGTCATAAATAATAGTACGAGCGCAGCCTATAGGTAAAATGGATTTCAATAAGAGACTTTATATTTACCCATGGTTTAATTTATGATATTTTATTGTTCGGATGACTGGCGACTGCTATCAATATATTTTTGTTTTATAGTGATTAGGTGGAAAATCCTTTGTTATCATTTCAATTTACCTTTTTGTTGTGTAAAATTATTTTAAATGGGTATAATATTAAAATTGTTGTATTATAGCTTGTTTATTTTGTTTATGGATTTATATCCACAGACCTATAAACTAGCAGACAACGCTTAGAGAGAGAAACCAGTAGACGAGCTAGCCGAGAGAGAACGAACTATGCGTTTGAGAATAATATACAAAGATACTAACGGAACCGAGAGAGAAAGAGCTAATGGATACGTTTGGGACGTTACAATATCATATCTCACTCACCCCATCTCGTCACCCACGAATTGTTGTCAAGACGGTGAGGTGGACGTTGTCCACTAATTAATAAGTCTATGATTATATCCGAATCTCATATTGTTCTCTATAAGTATCAACCATGACTAAATAAATTAGTTATGTTCACAATAAACTAGTAGCTATTCCGCATTCGACGGATTTGATTATACCGTCCATTTCTTCTACACACAAAACTATCGATAGCGGTTCTCCGCATTTCATTGGGCTATAGTATCAATGGGATATACGGAGACTGCGCGATAGACGAAGCGAGGGTGGTTTCGTATCAGCGTATCACAGGATGGTGGTCGTTCACCTATTGATTTTGTGTCTTTGTGATGGTATCAGAGTTGTTGTATGCCATCTCAGTTATACAGCATTTATTTTATTTTCTTATGTTGACAATGTGTCTTGCTTAATATAAATTTGTTCGTACAAAAATTATCCGACTCAGACTCCTCAACTCTGTATCAGCTGTCCGCGGTCGGTACCTACACGGTAACATTGGAATTTGAAGCCAACTTGTTGTGCTATAAACTTTAAATCATAAACTATGGATACTGGATAGAGTTATAGTCTATATATCACTTGTGTGTGTGTCCAAAATAAAATCAAACTGTGTGTGTATTTTTTGTAGATGTGAACACTTTTCTGTTTTGTCTTTTCCTGTTATTTCTTGAAATTTCTAAAAATTTGGGAAACCTGTGTGTAACTGAAAGTTGTGGGATCATCAATTATATCCATTATAGATGGGTGTTTGTTGTGGCCATGTTCAACTACATTTTTAGTCTAACTCACAAGGGTAATGGGTATGTACCTATCTATTTAATGAAAATGTTGTTTTTTGTGAAAAAAATTCTATAGTAACTAGGTGTTAATAAATATTACCTACTGGTACATTCATAGTAAATTATACTTTGAGACTTAAAAATTTTCTTTTATATCATATTATTATGATGTGGTCAAAAGACATGGCTTGTTGATTTTATCTCCTTATATGTTTAATGTAATCAATATAACTCGGGTGACTTTCTGCTTACATTTCTTATTTGAGATATTATAAACATATTAATCGTTCAATGCAACTCAGTTATCACTAGTAAAAATAGTTGTTTGGGAAACAGAAATTAAAATTAAAATTAAAATTGTATATTATTTTCTAAATTAATAAAACATTCTTCAGCTGGCTGTGTCCATAAACATATCTAACATTTTTTACATTTATATTCATAATTAATTTTTATTTATTTTTTATTATATTTTCATGTATTTAATTACAGTTCAGAGTATTCAATTAACTGTAACCTGTTATAAGTATAGTTACAAACTCGCATATTATTAAATAATAATAAAACAAAATGAATTGGTTTGAATTAATTGTACATCTTTTGTGGGTTCATTAAAAATAGTTAAGAGGCATTTTTTAAAGGATTATTAGTGCGTTTTAGCTTAATTTGAAGTGCTTTTTTTTATTCTTTTAGAGAGCCACAAAATCCAAGCTCTATAAGTCAATGGGATTTAAAATTTGAAATTATAATATGTAAAAAATGTTTTTATACTCATAAATTAAAAAATAAAGTTTATTTTATTGAAAAAAAATTTAATTTTAGCCATATTATAAACACAGTAGAT